CAATATTTTATACTTTCAAGGTGCAAACCGCGTGCCAAAACCTACTACACTATCACTTAGAACATCCAGAAAAGCTAGCAACTTTCGTGGGTTTTCAGTTAGCAATGTCCAGGTCAGAGAGTGCACCACTTGGAAACTTATCGGTGATGCTATCTTCCGGTGAGGACAAAACCGATTCCAGAATTACTTTAATTACAGAGTTGGATAAGGAAACCCGAATAAGCACCGTTTGCCTTGCTCAACTGGAGTGAAAAAGAGCTGTAACCTTTAAAAGGGCTTCGGTTATTGATATACAGAGATCAAAACCCGAAAAAAAACTAAATCGATGCACTCTTCAAGGAGGGGCAGCGCCAGAGAACAGTGTAAATAAATAAATCAAAATAGAGCCGGAAGGCATAAAATGATCATTGCACAAGTGCAGCCAATTGAATTATGAACGGGTAATAATCTTATTTTCATTTAGTAGTAAATTAACTAAATAAGAGATGATTCTTTTTGCAATGGCATTGTGTTAGAAATAACACCAAAAAGCCTTGGAATCACTGTACAACTCTCTTTCTTCATTACCCTTGTTAGGAGTTACCAGTAGTGTGTAAAGCTTCAGACGGCTCGAATTCAAAATGTACGTTTGTGAGTCCCAAATTTCCGGGGCCGGCTGGTTTCACGTCCGCATTGCATTACAATGTCAAATCCTGACTCGCAAGGCACCTGATTTTCGAGAGTCTCAGTTTTCAGTTTCAGTTTTTACAACCATTAACCATGCACTTTCGTGCGCCGGTTTTGGTTGCCCATTTGGATAAAGAGCGAAATGAAGATTGGAATGTCGAAGCAAATTCAAGCAGAAGGTGGGGAATACATATGAAGTGGTGTTAGGAAAATAACGAGTGGATGCACGAGCGCCACTGTTTGCGACACCCAACCATATCACTCAATGTAGCTAACCATCGGTGACCATCATCCCGAGGTCCCCAGCCAGGGAGCCTAACGGGGCCTATGTGACCTAGTCTCCTGGTTAGGGTTTTCATACCCTCATGCCAGGTCTTAGCTTGACCGCCCTTTGTTTTTTTCCAATCGCTACCAGCCTTGGCAAATATCGTTCGCCGTGGCAACTTATCTGGTGACATGCGTAGCACATGTCCCAACCAGCGTAATCTATGGAGATCGATCGCTTGCTCTAGTGGACGACCGCGACTGCCTAAAACTCTACGCCTAACCTCAGCATTGCTAGTCCGGTTACCCCACCAGACACGTGCAATGCTACGCAGACAGCGGTGTTCGAACACCGACAATCTATTTTTATCCTGTTCCTTTAGTGGCCAAGTCTCTTCACCGTAGAGCAGGGCTGGCCGAACTGCTGCAGCATACACTCGACCCTTCACAGACAGCCGGATGTCGCAACGGCGCCACAAATGTCTCAGGTTGGCAAATGTCAACTGAGCTTTTTTTATGCGCACCGACACTTCATCTGTGATGCGTCCGCCAGGTGAGATATAGCTGTCTAGATAGCAAAATTTGCCTACTTCCTCTACTACTTCCCAAGTTAGGGTGAGACTGGGCGCTGGATCAACCCAATCTTGAAGTAGCATTTTACACTTTGGAGGTGCAAAACGTATTCCGAACCGGGTTAAACTGGCACTCAAACTATCCAGAAAAGCTTGCAACTTATCTGGATCGTCACTTAGTAGCACAGTGTCGTCTGCATACTCTAGATCAGACAGTCTGCCACCCGGAAGCAAATGGATACCGCTATCCCTGCACGAGGATAGGGCTGTTTCAAGAATGAAATCTATGACATAGTTAAATAGAAATGGACAGAGACGGCAACCCTGTCGAACACCACTTTCCGTGGTGAACTCGGGTGACAAAGTGCCGTAAGCTAGAACTCGGCTTCGGCTATTATTATAGAGAGATTTTAATATTGAAATAAACTTCTCAGGCACTCCCTTCAGGGAAAGGCAGCGCCAGAGTTTAGAGCGGTCAACTGAGTCGAAAGCCGCTTTCAGGTCGAGGAAGATAGAAATGGTGGGTCTACGAAAAGAGTGTCTGTGTTCTAGGATTTGACGAGGAGTAAAGATGTGGTCGATACAACCTCGACCAGGTCTAAAACCATCCTGGTTCTCACGTGTGCACTCTTCACGAGCGGCAGACAATCGAGAAAGTATGATCCCGATGAGAAGTTTAAAGGCGATGTTAGCTAAACTAATTCCTCTTTTCCATTTCGCCTGTTCGCCGAGCTTGGCAATTTGTTTGCAAACGTGTGGTTTTCTCAGGAGGATCTGTCACCTTTCTTGTGAATCGGTATGATCACCGATTCACACCATTCAGTTGGAACCTGTTCCTTTTTCCACATTGAGCCCAGGAGTTTTGTTAACTCCACTACCAAGGCTGAGCCTCCATTCTTAACAACGGTTGGGGACAGCCCGTCGGGGCCGGAAGCCTTATGCCGTTTGAGGTGACTTATTTCCCGGGTAACCTCTATTTCAGATGATTGACTGATGTCAACTGGCAGTATTTGCACAGTTGGATCGAATGGGGGAAAGTCTTGTGTCGAAGGGGACCAGCTAAACTGTGCCTTAAAAT